CCTGAGACCACTAAAGATAAAAATAGCTGACTACCTGCTCTGCGAGATATTATCAAATTTGAATACTTTCACTTTTGAAAACTCCTGTTTGCAATTTCCCTTAAGGGCAGACTTCCGCTCCGAAATGGAAATGCTGCCAAGTGACTGCTGAGCCACCTGCCATCGACCCATGACTGAGCTGAGATGTTTGTTAACTTTCACTAGGAAAGTAACGTACACCTGTTTTTGAAAAGCGCCTGAAACCTCCCCTAGAAAACTGATATTAATTTCACAGTGAAAAATATCTTCAGACAGTATCCTCAAGCAATGAAAAAGATCTTGGATGGAAGTTTACATACTTACACACATGATTTAACTCCTGGAGAACCGGTTTGTTATGCAAGTCTTATTTGCTGAAAACGATGGTAAGAATTGTTGTCATACAACCTGTAAAGATGTGATTACCTGCAGTTCTCCTGGTTCGGCTTATTGGCTGAAAAGTTAGCTTGAACAGTTCTTGTTTTATTCATTAAGACAAAGAAACAGAGTATATGGAATGCCATGAATGCAAAAATATTTTGTAAGCGCTCTTTAAATGACCTTTACTCTGTTACTGCTGGTGCTAGACACAAAATTCAAACTGTTTTGGAAAGAGAGACATTGAGCTTTATGGGGACTTTTGGTGTATCAGGGTAGCACAAAGCATTTATAAGGTATTGCTGTCTGAACACAGACAGAAAAATGAAATCCACCTAGATTTCACATTACCATAACTCTTCAGCTTTGTGAAGTTTTACCTCCAAAATGACTAAGAAGTCCACGTGGCATGTGCGACACTTGGAAAAAAATGATAAGATGAAGAAACATTAAAAAGGAGCTTGTAGCAGTTTTCACAGAAACCTTGAAAGTGAATTCTTTCCAGTTTTATCACGTGTGTGATACAGCTGTTTTCTGCCATGACATGCGGGTGACTCATGCAGGCACACGGTTATTATCTTTATGTGGAAGCCTCTGAGCTGTTACGGAGGCAGATCTAGTGATTTGTTGCTACATTTGGTGATGAATGTGCAGGTATGCAGGGAGCTGCGCGTTTTTGAGATCCTATCTGCGTGTGCCAGCGGTTGTTACAAGAAACGAGGATCTCCATGGCGACCCCCTCCCGACGTCCTGTCTCAAATTGATTACCTGTGGGGGATTCGGCCCTCTTGCACCATGTAGTCACAAACAGGGGGGAAAGAAAGAACGAGTGCATGTTAAGCAGAGATAAGAAAAAAAGACAATAACAGCCACCGTGGCAGAATTGGTGATGAGTTTCAGCCAAGCGGATCGATTGTATCAAATGAAATCATCTGATCTTCTAAAGTTCTGACCGTGGTAATAATTTCTACGTGGCCACGGATGACTGCATCTCCCACCTGCTGCTTCCCTACCTCACTTTAATGCTGCATGAGTGTACTGCAAACCAAATCCAACGTCCTTATTTGCTGTTTTAACAGATTAGTGTGCTGTTTTTGGGCCCCTGATCTCATCCACACACATATCGGGTGAAAATACACAAAAAGCCCAGCGCAGCCTTTGGGCTGATGCTTCTGTTTTATCGTGTCAGATCCAGTCAACACCGCTCTGCTCATGTGTGCAGCTCTATCTGTCTTTGTTTGACAAAAGCAAGCCATCCGAGTGACACTATCCAAACCGATCTCCTTCTGTTTACGTGTGAACTCCGAGAAGAATAGCTGTCACATCTGATATTCAGAGGTTCTGGATGCGCTAATGTCTGTTTTATCTTCCTCCTCCTCTCCTTCTATCCCCTCTGTCTCTGTTCTCTCACTACAGAAAAGTGTGAAGGAGGGAATCCTGTTAAAGCAAACAAGCTCCTTCCAGAGGTGGAAGAGGAGGTACTTCAAACTCAGAGGGAGGACCCTCTACTATGCCAAAGACTGCAAGGTACAGAACTGTGTGATCGTTTTACCGCCATAGCTCTTAAACTGTAACATTTTTATTTAAATGTAACTGGCTAAAAAATAAGCTGATGGGGGTTTTTTTTTCTCCCATTAGTCCCTAATTTTTGATGAAGTGGACCTATCAGATGCCAGTGTGGCTGAGACCAGCACCAAGAACATCAACAACAGTTTCACAGTAAGACCAAGACAGGCCTTATAAATGACTACAAGGTGGCCCTTTAAAACTTTTCTATGGGCAAATTATGACAAAACAGCCTACATGGACTAATGCTAGGTCAGAAATAGACCATTTTAATGGATGCCAGCTCAGCTATTTGATGGTGAAGTGGCTGTTTTTTAGTGTAAAAGACTACGGCTAATCAGCTAATTTAGTTAGCTTGTCTGGTTAGCAAGGTGTGTTTGTTATTCACTTTAATATAACAGGTAATGTTAATTTTGGCTTATAAAAAAGTTTAAAGCAAAATGTAGGAATTGAACTTAAGGGGTATACAGAGCTGCACAGAAACCTTCTTCTGATTGCTTTGGTCTCTAGGAGACTGCCCGTAGTTTGCACTGAAGACGGCAACTTGTTTGCGCACGCTTGCTAGCTAACCACCAAGCAGTAGAAACCTGAAAAAGAGCGAAGCAATCTGGAAAACGGAGAACATTCGCCTTAAAAGTAAAAGTCGTCTTCATACCAGGCTTAATTAACTTCGGGATTGATAACTTCTAATAAGTTTGTTTAATTCAGGATTTTATTTGGGGACATATATCTGAAGAACAGCTGGTGCTTCCATTAGCCTCTCATGCTATATTGCTCAACAACTACAAGAAATTCAAAGATTGGAGTCAAGTTTTTTGCTCTCTTCTAAACTTTCCACTTTCTTTCTTTCTCAGGTGATCACTCCATTTCGCAAACTAATGTTATGCGCTGAAAGCAGGAAGGAAATGGAGGACTGGATCACGGCGCTCAAATCCGTCCAAAAGTGGGAAACCTACGAGGTTGGTGCTTCTCATCTCTGTGTCGGGCTCTTGTTATGTTTCAGCCTCGTCCTTCGTTCTCCTGGCTGACATGAGAGTAAACTGGGCCAAACTGATTATCATTAGATAATAGCTAGTCATGAGTGTGTAATTAATGTTGATGAGACCAGGCTTTCACAGCTCAGTTCTTCTTGCTTCTGTTTTTCACATAAATGATCCATCTTCACATCTTCTCGTCTCCTTTTTATCTGCCTCTCATTTCAGCTCTTTGCCTACCGATTGATGTCCTCATAAAACCAAGCCTCCTCTTTAATTGATTATAAAGTGAAGGCTCAGATTTTTTTTTTATGAGCTTATATTCTCTTTGATTTTTGGCCTTCCTAGGCTTTTTATTATAAAAGTTAATTTGGGGTTTCAATTTTTGCCTTCTCATCTCTACTTATTCATGTGATGTGATTTTAAGCAGGTGACAAATTGTACAGCCATCGTTCTCCTACCCCAGCCTAGTTATTTTTTAATTGTAGTTCCGGGAAAGTTCTCGTTTTTGTCCTTTTGTGTTTCCTCTTGTGTAGAGAAGCGCTGACGCGTCTCAACCTCAATGTTTCTCCTTCCCACCCCCCCAGGCCAGTCAGTTTAATATGGAGCATTTCTCCGGGATGCACAACTGGTACGCCTGCTCACACGCCAGACCGACCTTCTGCAACGTTTGCAGAGAGGCGCTGCCAGGTGTCACCTCCCACGGCCTGTCCTGTGAAGGCACGTAGACACATACACACACACACACACTGCATCTGTGTTCTTGCGCTCACTCATAAGAAGTCACTGGAACGTCGAGTCACTCATGCATTAATTCCTAAGAAACAATCCTACCATTTTTGGTCTAACAAGAAAAATTACATCACCAGCGTTCTCTTTGTCTGCGCTTGATATGCAGTAATAAAGTAGCTTTAAAACTCTTTCCTGCACTGTGGCAATGGTTGCACAACAGGTTTGTGATACAACTGGAGACAGTTGTATAAAGTACGTCACCTCTCTTATCAGGGGTAAAAATCAGATTACAGACATACTTTAAGTCCACTCAACACATTAAATTAGAATTCAGAGACAACTTCAACAATCCAACGACAGCCTGTAAGCCAGAACTTGGTGACAGTGGGAAGGAAAAACTCCCTTTTAACAGGAAGAAACCTTGAGCAGAAGCAGGAGGAGCAGCCATCTGCGGTTAGGGGTTTAGAAGGGAGGAAGATGGAATAATTTCTGAAGAGTACAGGATTTTAAGAGCTTATCTTGAAAAATATCTCAGTGAACATTAAAATGCGTAAAACCACCTCAAAGTCTGTCAAGATCATGCCAGAGCAGCAGGTCGCCATATAACCCTTAAGCGGCAGCTCAAAATCCAATAAACAACGGCATTTACACGTGGATGAAAGGCCAAAACACACAAAAATCTAGGTTTACCAAAATATCCATGTATGTAGACCTCAAAGTCCAAGAAACTAGAAAAGGAGACCAGTCTCCTTCAAAGTAAAAGCACCATGTACCCAGCGACTGCCAACAACAACCCGCCAACTGATCAGGAAAAACACGTTTTTCCCTAGCAACTGCATGTTGCCAGGGTATCACCAGACTCAAGGTCTGCGTGATTGAGCCTGCAGGTTTCCAATTACCATTAAAGAGAATTTCTCTTCTCAGAGAACATGTTAGTACCCGAGGGCTCCTTTTGTTTAATTTCAGCACAACATATCTTGAAGAAAGAAAGTGTTACAGGTATTTAAGTAACACTGTATTTTAATTTGGTCCCTAAAATGAAGTTGATTAGGTAAAACAAAGAAATTAACTGATTAACTCTAATTAGTCGACCCACTGTCCTTGTGTACCTGCTTCAGATTAATTTTGTTCTCATGCTTTAAAAACCCAGCAGTACATTTACCATAGACTGTATCTAAATGATGGCAAAACTTAGCAGTAATTGAGCAGTAACCGCGTCTGAACTTGTGGATCCCTTCTTAGTTTTTTTGTTTCTTGTAGTGACCATATTTGGACTCAGTTTAAATATCATTTATATAAAATTCACAACAACAGCAGCCACCAAAAAGAGCCTTAGCATGTCAGCTACAACACAGATAGCTGTTATAACGTATAACACAGAAATAAAATGTTAGAGCTTCAGTGACCAAAAGTGGAGTGCAGATGACTGTAACGAGCTTTTAGTGCTTTAACTGTGACTGTCGCTCAAAGAGGCCACGCCCCAATTGATAACTTTAAGCATCAAAAACCAC